CCCGGCCGCGCCCCGAACGCCCTCTGCAGCCGCGGTCCCCGCCGCCACGGCGAGGGAGTCTCGCTCCCCTTACCTGGCCCGGCTGCTCTGTCTGCTCCGAGGACGCCATCTTTCCGAGGCCTGACTAATCTATCGCCGAGGGGCAAGGTTTCTCCCAAGCACCCTCGCTCCCGCCCAGACTAAAGTAGCCGGAGCCGAGCCTGTCGATGGGGGCCGATTCAAAGTCTGGGTCCTCTTCGTATCGCTGCGTGTGCATTGTTGAATTAAATCGCTACCCGTCCCCACGCGGTGCCAGGATACAATGGGGGACTCGGGACGTATTTAAGAAAGGTGAAAATTAACTTTAAGCGTTCAGTTCAGTACAACTCACTGGCTACTGTTCACCAGAACTTTGGTGGACGCTAGAAATAAAACGGTCCGAGTCCCAACCCCCGCTCCCCAGTCCAGGCCAAACAAGCACCCAGCCTGATACAAGTGCGCCCTGCCCGGTCACAGGGGCACCCGCCCTGGTACAGGTGCGCCCACCCTGCTCACAGGGGCACCCACCATGGTCACAGGTGCACCCACCCAGGTCACGGGGGCACTCACCCTGGTCACAGGGGCACCCACCATGGTCACGGGGGCAACCACCCTGGTACAGGGGCGCCCTGCCCAGCTACAGGGGCACCCACCCTGCTCACAAGGGCACCCACCCTGGTCACAGGTGCAACCACCCTGTTACAGGTGCGCCCACCCTGGTACAGGTGCAACCACCCTGGTACAGGTGCGCCCTGCCCAGTCACAGGTGCGCCCAGCCCAGTCACAGGGGCACTCACCCAGGTCACGGGGGCACCCACCCTGCTCACGGGGTCACCCACCCTGGTCACGGGGGCACCCACCATGGTCACGGGGGCACCCACCCTGCTCACAGGTGCTCCCACCCTGGTCACAGGGGCACCCACCCAGGTCACGGGGGCACCCACCCTGGTCACAGGTGCTCCCACCCTGGTCACAGGGGCACCCACCCCAGGTCAAAGAGGCACCCACCCTGGTCACAGGGGCGCCCACCCCAGGTCAAAGGGGCGCCCAGCCTGGTCACAGGTGGGCTCTGTTTGGAGAACACACAAGAGGGGGCCTTTTGGTGGAGAGAGTCCTCCACTAACACTCATTACTTCACAGTGGTTAGACTATTAGATTTTTTTTTTAAGATTTATTTATTTGAGCCGGCGCCGCAGCTCACTAGGCTAATCCTCCGCCTAGCGGCGCTGGCACACCGGGTTCTAGTCCCGGTTGGGGCACCGGATTCTGTCCCGCTTGCCCCTCTTCCAGGCCAGCTCTCTGCTGTGGCCAGGGAGTGCAGTGGAGGATGGCCCAGGTGCTTGGGCCCTGCACCCCATGGGAGACCAGGAAAAGCACCTGGCTCCTGGCTCCTGCCATCGGATCAGCGCGGTGCGCCGGCCGCAGCGCGCTGGCCACGGCGGCCATTGGAGGGTGAACCAACGGCAAAAGGAAGACCTTTCTCTCTTTCTCTCTCTCACTGTCCACTCTGCCTGTCAAAAAAAAAAAAAAAAAGATTTATTTATTTGAAAGGCAGAGTTACAGAGTGAAAGAGAATGGAAGAGACAGAGATCTTCCAATGCTGGTTCACTCCCCAGATGGCCGCAAGGGCCAGAGCTGGGCTGGTCAGGAGCCAGGAGCGTCCTCCAAGTCTCTTACATGGGTGCAGGGGCCCAAGGACTTGGGTCATTTTCTGCTGCTTTCCCAGACCATAGCAGAGAGCTGGATGGGAAGAGGAGCAGCCGGGACTCGAACTGGCGCCCATATGGGATGTGGGCGCTGCACACAGCAGCTTTATCTGCTACGCCAGCACAGGCCCCATAGACTGTTAGGTTGTTTTTTTTGTTTTGTTTTGTTTTGTTTTGTTTTGTTTTTGACAGGCAGAGTGGACAGTGACAGTGAGAGAGAGAGACAGAGAGAAAGGTCTTCCTTTGCTGTTGGTTCACCCTCCAATGGCCGCCGTGGCCGGCGCTCTGCGGCCGGCGCACCGCGCTGATCTGATGGCAGGAGCCAGGTGCTTCTCCTGGTCTCCCATGGGGTGCAGGGCCCAAGCACTTGGGCCATCCTCCACTGCACTCCCTGGCCACAGCAGAGAGCTGGCCTGGAAGAGGGGCAACCGGGACAGAATCCAGCGCCCCGACCGGGACTAGAACCTGGTGTGCCGGCGCCGCAGGCAAAGGATTATCCTATTGAGCCATGGTGCTGGCGACTGTTAGATTTTAAACTCGATAGGAAATTATGTGAAAAAGGATGCATAAGCTAGAAGTATCAGTTCATAACTGTAGTGTTTCTAGATGAATATGGAGTACTCAGAAGTTGTCTTCATTAACAATTCCTCCCACCAATATGGCTTAAATGGCTACACCTCGATTAAGATAATGTCTGTCCCCTCACCTGCATTTTTATAAACAAAATAAGAAAGTGAACATGGACAGTTGTTTCCAATTTACATTAAATGGCCCCCCTTTAAGCCAGGAAACTTTGATATTTTTTTAAAAATTATTTGTCATCTTAAGTGTTAGTTTTTCAGGAGGAAGAAACAGAGACTTCTCTGTGTTTTAACAAGCAGCACTGGGGCCAACACTGGCATAGTGGGTAAAGCCTGCTGAGTCACCAGCATCCCACGTGGGCGCTGGTCTCAGTCCCGGCTGCTCCACTTCCGATCCAGCTCCATACTTGTGGCCTGGGAAAAGCAGAGGAAGATGCCCAGGTGTCTGGGCCCCTGCACCCACGTGGAAGACCCAGGAGAAGTTCCCAGCTTCTGTTCAGTCCTGGCTGTTGCGGCCAGCTGGGGAGTGAACCAGTGGGTGGAAGATCTATCTCTTCTCTGTCTGTCTGTCTATCTGTCTCCCCCCACCGCCATCTGTAACTCTGACTTTCAAATAAATTTTTAAAAAAACTATTAAAACAAGGATGAAAGCAGGCATTGTGACGCAGTAGGTTAAGCCACCACTTGGGACCCCACCGTCCCAAATCAGAGAGACTGGTTCTGACCCCACCCACTCTGCTCCTAATCCAGCTTCCTGCTAATGCACTTGGGAGCTGTGGACGATGGCCCAAGTGCTTGGGTCTGTGCCACCCATGTTGGGGACCAGACTGGAGTTCCTGGCTCCTGGCTTCAGACTGGTGCAACCCTGGCCGTTGTGGGCATTCAGGGAGTGAACCAGCAGATGGAAGGTCTCTCACTCTGCCCTTCAAACACACCAATCTTTTAAAGAAAACAAAATTGGCCGGCGCCACGGCTCACTAGGCTAATCCTCCGCCTTGCGGCGCCGGCACACCGGGTTCTAGTCCCAGTCGGGGCACTGGATTTGTCCCGGTTGCCCCTCCTCCAGGCCAGCTCTCTGCTGTGGCCAGGGAGTGCAGTGGAGGATGGCCCAAGTGCTTGGGCCCTGCACCCCATGGGAGACCAGGATAAGCACCCGGCTCCTGCCATCGGATCAGCGCGGTGCGCTGGCGGCAACGCGCCGGCCGCGGTGGCCATTGGAGGGTGAAGCAACGGCAAAGGAAGACCTTTCTCTCTGTCTCTCTCTCTCTCTCACTGTCCACTCTGCCTGTCAAAAAATAAAAATAAAAAATAAATTAAAAAAAAAAAAGAAAGAAAACAAAATCAAGGTAAGTGCTGTGGGGCTGCACCTGAACAACTTCCAAGCATGGATCACTCTTCTTGACTGATTGGAGACCTTACTGTTTATGTGATATAGCCAAAGGAAAAAGTTGTAGCAACTTGTCCAATGACCTTACTTAGCCTGATTTTTGAGTTCAGAATCAGGGGACACTTCATTCCACAATGTTTCAGTGAGCGAAGCAGAGATGTTGGGTCTGTAGACAGAAAAGAGCTGAAAAAAGCAGAAATAAACAAAAAAAGCAGACTGGTCTTTTCAAAGTTACTTTGCTTGCCGTACAGGGACAGGGAGACGGAATAATGAAAAGTGACCAATTGGCTAAAATCAGGTTACTTTCAAATTGCACTTTTTTGGTAAAGATTGAGGCAGAGGAGCTCATCATCATGCCAGATCAAGCTGGGAAATGGGGCTGTCACCGCTAATCCTAATTTCTTTGGAGGTCAGATAAATTAGTTCCAGCTTGGTGTTGTAAAAGTTGAGGTTGAGTGACTCCATTTTGATGTTCTGCTGGTCTGTCGAGGCCTCGTGTAGGAGCTTAGCTCAAAACAGTGGGTTCCTGTAATTGTTATTTACGGGGGCTGGGGCCGTGGCGCAGTAGGTTAATCCTCCACCTGCAGTGCCGCCATCCCACACGGGCGCCGGTTCTAGTCCCAGCTGCTCCACCTCCGATCCAGCTCTCTGCTACAGCCTGGGAAAGCAGTAGAAGATGGCCCAAGTCCTTGGGCCCTGCACCCGCGTGGGAGACCCAGAAGAAGCTCCTGGCTTCTGGCTTCGGATCGGCGCAGCTACAGCTCGGGCTGCTGCGGTCAACCGAGGAGTGAACCAGCGGATGGAAGTCTCTCTCTCTCTCCCTCCCTCTCTCTCTCTCTGCCTCTGCATAACTCTGCCTTTCAAATAATAAATAAGTAAACCTTTAAGAAATTTAAACAAGTAAATTCGGCTTCCTTCACGTCAGCCCAAAGCCGGGCGTCTTACAGATCCTTCGCCTTGGATGTGAAAACCAGCGCTGGGTGACAGCCTCTTTAACCACTACGCATGCGTATGCAGACAGACGCGCTCCACAGCCCCAAGGGAACAGACACGCATGTGCTTCAAAACGCACAGCCCGTCGCTACCGACCCACGCGTGAACGTGCCGTTGAGGCTCCTGAATGGAGTCAGAAGCCAGCGCAGGGACTGTACTGCGCCACCGGACGAAGTCAGCCCTGAACCCAGAGACTACAACTCCCGGCATGCCCCAGGGCCGCACGGCATTAGCAGCCACTGAAACTACATTTCCCGGCGTGCCTTTGGCCTCACGCCTGATTTGCTGCAGAGAACTACATCTCCCGGCAGGCCGCGGGAGGAGAGCCGCCCGAGACTTCTGGGAGTCGCCGAGTCCCGACCTAGGGAAGGATGGAGGTCCAGGGCGAGATGCGGGCGCTGAAGCCTTGCGTGTTGCGCCGCAATCACAGCCGGGAGCAGTACGGCGTGGCGGCCTCCTGCCTGGAGGAGCTTCGGAGCAAGGGTCGGCGCGGGGGCCGGGCCGGGGCGGGGGTCCGGCGGGGCGAGGCGGGGGCCGGCGGGAGACGACCTGGAGGTTCTCGGAGCTCGGGCGCGGTGCGAGCGATCTTGACGCGGCTCGGGCGCGGGAACAGAAAGCTCGGGGTTTAGATTCGGGGCGCAGGCGAGCCTCGGGGTGTGCTCCGGCCGCTCGGCCCGCCCGGCCGGTGCTGTCCCCGGCGGCCCGGAGGCTCGACCGTGGGTGGGAGAGACGCCGAGCCGCACCCCGGGCTGCTGGGCCTCGGCGGCCGCTTTGCCCTTGGCAGAGCGGATGTATTTCCAGCCCTGCTTCAGACGTTGCGGGACTCTAAAATGAAGTGTACGCGGACGGTGTGCAGGTGCTAGCCGAAGGAGCTGTGCCACTCGGGGCTTTGCTGGGTGCGCTTGGCACGGAGGCTTGTGTTCCGAGCCGCTCGGCCTGCCCCAGGCTTGCTGCGCTGTCGGTGGTGGACAGCATGGCCGATGGACATTGGTGGTCTCTTGGCCGCTTGTGCTTACTCCAGCCCGTGAGGCGTCACAGCCCTGTCCTGGACAAAGCCTGCTGCCCGGTGGTGATGAGAATGGTAGGAGCTGGACTTCACGTCCGCTTTTCTGTAGCTTAGAAAAGCTGCAAAGGAAAATGCTACAAAGAACAAAAAATTGTTCTTTTGTGCCCGCCCCCGGTTTTAAGATTGATTGAATAGAAAACTTACACGGGGAGGGGGGCCAGAGCGAGCGAGCGAGCTTCCATCTGCTGCTTCACTCCCCGGATGGCTGCAGCGACCCCGGGCTGGGCCAGCAGCAGGAGCTTCTTCTGGGTCTCCGACGTGGGTGCAGCAGCCCAAGCCCCTGGGCCATCCTCTGCTGCTTTTCCCAGCCCATTTAACAAAGAGCTGAATTGGAAGTGGAGCAACCGGGACTCGAACCGGTGTCCATATAGGATGCCGGAGTCGCAGGCAGCAGCTTTGCCCATTCTGCCACAATGCCTCCCTCCTCCCTTTTTTTTGACATTTAACCAAAATGAGATGATGTATTTAAATAATTTGCAGGTAGTATTTGCTCACAGCAACAAATTCTTTATCTAAAGAAGTTAAACAAGTGAGGATAAATGAGGGTAAGAGCCACACCAGACTCTGGTCGCTCATTTGCAGAAAGACTTGAATGCTTCCTCTGGGTCACGGTCGCTCTGCGAAGCACATTTGCAGCAGCCAGACGGGGTTGAAGTCCCAGGCCTGCCTCTTTCTTTCTTTTTTAAAGGATTTTTTTTTTTTTAATTTATTTGACAGGTAGAGTTACAGACAGTGAGAGAGAGACAGAGAAAAAGGTTTTCCTTCCATTGGTTCACTCCCCAAACGGTTGCTACGGCCAGCGCGCTTGGCCAATCCAAAGCCAGGAGCCAGGTGCTTCCTCCTGGTCTCCCATGGGGGGTGCAGGGCCCAAGCACTTGGGCCATCCTCCACTGCACTCCCGGGCCACAGCAGAGAGCTGGCCTGGAAGAGGAGCAGCCGGGACTAGAACCCGGCACCCATATGGGATGCCGGCGCCGCAGGCGGAGGATTAACCAAGTGAGCCACGGTGCCAGCCCCAAGTCCTGCCTCTTTCAAACCGTGTGATCTCGGACAAGTTACCTAGGCCTCTCTGAGCCTAGGGTTCATCTTTAAAGTGGGAACATAGCAGCGCCCACCTCATGGGGCTGTTGGAAGATCCAGTGCCAGGAGCATATGGAACAGCCCCGGGCACATGGTGCCACATGTAGCTACAGTTACGCCCATAGGTGGGGTTGCTGTCGCCCGTCGGGGATTCTGCCCGGCTCCCTGGGAGCCGCCGGACTGAGGGTGCAAGGAGAGATGGGATTCTCTGGTGCGTATCTGTCAAGTGACCTGTTCTCCTCAGCCTGTGACATCCTGGGCATCGATGAGTCCCTGACACCGGTCACCCTGGTCCTGGCGGAGGACGGCACCATCGTGGACGATGACGACTACTTCCTGTGTCTGCCTTCCAACACTAAATTTGTGGCCTTGGCCAGTAACGAGAAGTGGACATACAGCAGTTCAGGTAAGAAGCGCGGGCCGCCTGCAGTGCGGCATCCGTCACGAGTCACTTGATCACCTCACTGCGCACGCGCGGGCTGCTGCTCTCTGGCTGTCCGAGCACGGGGCAGCAGACATTGACCGAGACCTCTGTGTGCCGGGCGGGGCGGAGTCCTGGGGTAAAGACGGGTGAGGCCTGGGCCCGGTCCCTGGCTCAGCCTGGCAGGGGCTAAGATGCAGTGTGGCGGGGCCATCAGTGCCACGGGATCTGAGCCACCCAGCGACCCTGGGCAAGTCACGTGACCTCTCGGCGCCTCCCCGGCTGCTGTGAGCCCGTGGAAGCAGCCTTCCCGGTGATGCTGCCATCGACTCTGGGGCTGGAGCAGGCTCTGTGGTGCAGGGCTGCCTGTGTCACAGGGTGCGTAGTGACGTCCACTCCCCGCCCGAACTCGGACTACCGAGAGTGTCTCCTGAGCCTGTCACACGTCTCCCGGGGGACAGAGCTGCCTCTGGCTGAGGACCACCGACAGGAAGCGCTCAGCTCTTACCTGCACCCAGGAGGGCTCCGTGTGCTGCCTGGCTTGGTGATCGTCACCTTTGTCACCTCTGGTGACACAGAGGCAGTGGACACTGACGATCGGGGTCACAGCGCTGCAGGCTGCACGGCTGCCCAAGGAGCCAGCGGCTCTTCCGGTCACTCACACCTAACCCCAGGGCCCGCGGGCGGTGCTGCAGCCCCACCAGAGCCTCACCAGAGCCCCACCGCTGAGCTGGGGGCCAGACCTAAGCACCAGAGCCGCGCTGGGTGAGAGTGACTATTTTTTGGATACAAACATACAACACTTCGGCTATCTTTTTTTTTTTTTTTTTTTTTGACAGGCAGAATTAGACAGTGAGAGAGAGACAGAGAGAAAGATCTTGCTTCCGTTAGTTCACCCCCCAAATGGCTGCTACGGCCGGCGCTGCGCCAATCCGAAGCCAGGAGCCAGGTGCTTCTCCTGGTCTCCCATGCAGGTGCAGGGCCCAAGCACCTGGGCCATCCTCTACTGCCTTCGCGGGCCACAGCAGAGAGCTGGCCTGGAAGAGGGGCAACCGGGACAGAACTGGCACCCCGACCGGGACTAGAACCTGGTGTGCCGGCGCTGCAAGGTAGAGGATTAGCCTAGTGAGCCGCAGCACCAGCCCACTTAGGCTATCAAAACTCAACCGAACAGGAAGTGTGGTGGGATCGTGCGTGCACACGACCCTGCTCCCACACTGGCTTCAGTGGCCTCTTTCCACAGAAGCGTACCGAGCCACGGTCGCACACACGTGGACTGGAGGTGGAGGAGGGACAGTGGGGTCCTGGCGAGCGCTGGCTTGCCTGCGCTCCGTGACCCTCGAGCAGAGGGGCTTCCTTTATCCCTGAAATTCTCCCGCCAGCAGACACGAGCCGACCTCACCAGGCGGGGGAGGGGGCGGAGCAGCGCCCCAGGCCGTCCTGACCGTGACCGGCGTTTTTCCCACTGCAGACGGAGGGACGGCGTGGATTTCCCAAGAGTCCTTTGATGCCGATGAGACCGACAGTGGGGCAGGGCCCACGTGGAAGAACGTGGCCAGGCAGCTGAGAGGAGACCTGGCCAGCATCGTCCTGCTGTCAGAGGAGCACCTCCAGGTCAGCCGCGCCCACACCGCCCTGCCTCCCGCCGGGGTCACTCGCTCCGTGAAGGTTCTTGATTCTCAAACTCCAGTGACGCTGCCGCGCTGTCAGCCTTTCGGTGCGTCGGAGTCGCCCGTGGGCTTTCCGATCCAGGTGCTGAGACCCAGGGCGGAGGCCGTGCCGCTGAGACGTGGAGGGTGGCGAGGGGCTGGGGTCGTCCCAGCCGCAGGGCTGCTGCTCTGCTGTGTACCCTGTCCAGGAAAATGGGCTGAAACCATGCGTTTTCTTCCAGGGCGCTGCCGTGTGCCTGGCGCGGTTCTGTGTATGTACCAGGGCGCCGTGGCACACAGCTGGGCACAGCGTCAGCTCTGAGGGCGCCTGCACCCTGCCCACGGGAGGCAGCAGGACGGCACGTCACGGGCAGGCGTTGGCCTCCTGGTTAAGACACTTGTGTCCCGAATCGGACTGCCTGGCTTTGTCCCTGGCTCTGCTTCTGACTCCAGCTTCCTGTTAGTGCAGACCCTGGGAGGCAGCGGTGGCGGCTCAAGTACTCGGGCCCCTGCCGGTCCCGGCCGCTCACGGGGAGACCTGGATCCAGTTCCCAGCCCCAGCCAGGGAACACGGGGCACTCTGTCTCTCCTTCCATCTCCAATGAGTACGTCACACACACATCATAGGGCTGGCGTACAGAGGGTGACAGGGGTGGGTGGAGGGAGACCTCTTTTTAAACGTGTTTATTTTGAATGAATATTATGAATACATTCACGTAGTTCAAACTCCAGGAGGCGAAGGAGGGTAGATACACAGGTAGGCCGACAGCAGACAGCCCCGGTGTCCGTCAGGGAGTCAGCGATGGGCCCGTGGTGACGCCGTCCAGTGAGCTCAGGCAGCAGCGTGGGTGAGCCCTGGAAACTGCTGGGTGGGAGAAGCCGGACCGCAGGCCGCACCCGGGGATGAGTGACTTGTAGGAAGCGCTCAGCAGTGCGAGTCTGGAGCCAAGTGTGCAGTGGTGGCTGCCCGGGGCGGGGCGGGGCGGGAAGGTGAAGACGAGGGTGGTGACCGCTGACGGCTGCTTTCGGAGGGGTGAACATGCTCTGAGCTCGATATGGCAGTGTCGCACAGCTTGGTGAGTACCCGAAATGGAATCGTATCCTTGATGGATGGGTGGATTGGCGTGTGTTCTGGCTCGGTGGCAGGAGCCCCGCGCAGATGTCCCTTCCTGGAGATACCGCTCTCCCGGTTTCCCATCCCACTGACGGAAAGGCAGAGTGGCAGCATCCTCCATCTGCCGGTCCCCCCAAATGGCCACAGTGGTCCAGGCTGGAGCCAGGAACCTGGAACTCCATCCCGGTCTCCCACGTGGGTGGAAAGGGCCCAAACACCCGGGCCTTCTTCCGTCGCTTTCCCAGGCGTGTTAACAGGGAGCTGGATTGGAAGTGGAGCAGCTGGGACTTGAGCCGGCAGTCACCTGGGATGCTGGTGTCCCAGGCAGCGGCTTAGCGCACTGCGCCACAGCGCTGGCCCCGCCGGAGACAGGTTATATGCGGTTCCTCCTTCCTTTCTCTCCACGTGGGGGCGTGTCTACCGCGTTTGCACAGAAGTATTTGGAAACGTCTTCTAGCTCAGTACAGAAAAGCCATCCACCGTCTGTTTACCACCGCATGGCGTGTCGTGTCGCTCTTCTGGTCAATGCTGTGAAAGCTGTGTTGGTCTCTGCACTCAGGCTCCGCTGTGCAGTGAGTGCGGAGTTCAAGGGCGCCCGCATTTGGTCAGCACCAGCAGGGTTCCAGGAGGGGTCAGTGTAACCGGGGGCTGCAGGCCAAGGTGGAGCTGCACGGAGAGCCTGGGGCCAGTGTCCAGGAGAGGGATGGCTGCCGCAGGGCCAGTGTCCAGGAGAGGGATGGCTGCCGCAGGGCCAGTGTCCAGGAGAGGGCTGGCTGCCGCAGGGCCAGTGTCCAGGAGAGGGATGGCTGCCGCAGGGCCAGTGTCCAGGAGAGGGCTGGCTGCCGCAGGGCCAGTGTCCAGGAGAGGGATGGCCGCCGCAGGGCCAGTGTCCAGGAGAGGGATGGCCGCCGCAGGGCCAGTGTCCAGGAGAGGGATGGCCGCCGCAGGGCCAGTGTCCAGGCAGAGAGATGGCTGCCGCAGGGCCAGTGTCCAGGAGAGGGATGGCCGCCGCAGGGCCAGTGTCCAGGAGAGGGATGGCTGCCGCAGGGCCAGTGTCCAGGAGAGGGATGGCTGCCGCAGGGACAGTGTCCAGGAGAGGGCTGGCTGCCGCAGGGCCAGTGTCCAGGAGAGGGATGGCCGCCGCAGGGCCAGTGTCCAGGCAGAGAGATGGCTGCCGTAGGGCCAGTGTCCAGGCAGAGAGATGGCTGCCGTAGGGCCAGTGTCCAGGCAGAGAGATGGCTGCCGTAGGGCCAGTGTCCAGGAGAGGGATGGCCGCTGCAGGCTCACTGGATTTAAGATTTTTTTAAGAAACAAGAAGGTGTGCTGAGGTCTCTTCCCGTCCTGACAGACAGTACTTCCTTGGGCTACGGAGCACGTTACGCCCAGACAGGGACGTCAGGACATGAGTGAGCGTGGCCGGGACTCCCCGGGGAAGCTCCGGCCACGCAGAGACCTTATGAGGCTGACCCACCTGCAGGCAAAAGCGCCGCCATTGCAGGGACCGAGGACGGGGTGGGCAGAGGGGAGGGCACGGGGCTGTCAGCCTGTGATGGACCGGGGGTAGGGGGTGGGCACAGGGCTGTCAGCTTGTGGTGGACCGAGGGTGGGGGGGCACAGGGCTGTCAGCTTGTGGTGGACTGAGGGTGGGGGGTGGGCACGGGGCTGTCAGCTTGTGGTGGACCGAGGGTGGGGGGGCACGGGGCTGTCAGCTTGTGGTGGACTGAGGGTGGGGGGCAGGGGGTGGGCACGGGGCTGTCAGCTTGTGGTGGACTGAGGGTGGGGGGTGGGCACGGGGCTGTCAGCTTGTGATGGACCGAGGGTTGGGGGGGGGCACGGGGCTGTCAGCTTGTGATGGACCGAGGGTGGGGGGGGGCACGGGGCTGTCAGCTTGTGGTGGACCGAGGGTTGGGGGGGGCACGGGGCTGTCAGCTTGTGATGGACTGAGGGTGGGGGGGCACGGGGCTGTCAGCTTGTGGTGGACTGAGGGTGGGGGGCAGGGGGAGGGCACGGGGCTGACAGCTTGTGATGGACCGAGGGTGGGGGGCAGGGGGTGGGCACAGGGCTGTCAGCTTGTGGTGGACTGAGGGTGGGAGGGCAGGGGGAGGGCACGGGGCTGTCAGCTTGTGGTGGACTGAGGGTGGGGGGGCAGGGGGTGGGCACGGGGCTGTCAGCTTGTGGTGGATCGAGGGTGGGGGGAGGGGGTGGGCACGGGGCTGTCAGCTTGTGATGGACCGAGGGTGGGGGGCAGAGGGGTGGGCACGGGGCTGTCAGCTTGTGATGGACTGAGGGTGGGGGGGCAGGGGGTGGGCACGGGGCTGTCAGCTTGTGATGGACTGAGGGTGGGGGGAGGGGGTGGGCACGGGGCTGTCAGCTTGTGATGGACCGAGGGTGGGGGGCAGAGGGGTGGGCACGGGGCTGCCAGCTTGTGGTGGACTGAGGGTGGGGGGGCACAGGGCTGTCAGCTTGTGGTGGACTGAGGGTGGGGGGGCAGGGGGTGGGCACGGGGCTGTCAGCTTGTGGTGCACCGAGGGTGGGGGGGCAGAGGGAGGGCACGGGGCTGTCAGCTTGTGATGGACTGAGGGTGGGGGGGCAGGGGGTGGGCACAGGGCTGTCAGCTTGTGATGGACCGAGGGTGGGGGGCAGGGGGTGGGCACGGGGCTGCCAGCTTGTGGTGGACTGAGGGTGGGGGGGCACAGGGCTGTCAGCTTGTGATGGACTGAGGGTGAGGGGGCAGGGGGTGGGCACGGGGCTGTCAGCTTGTGATGGACTGAGGGTGAGGGGGCAGGGGGTGGGCACGGGGCTGTCAGCTTGTGGTGGACTGAGGGTGGGAGGGCAGGGGGAGGGCACGGGGCTGTCAGCTTGTGATTCTTGGAAGTCCGTGCTCCGTCTCGCCTCGTTTTCCTCGTCTGTAAACAAGAGTGATGCTGAGAGCTCTCACGAGGGCCAGGCCTCGCAGATGTTACACCGGGATGTGTCCACGTTACTGCACATCAACTGATGCCGAATGGGGCGGGCGTTCGGCCTGACGGTTAAGGTGCAGGGAGAGGCTCACCCCGCCCAGGAGTGGTGGGTTCGGTGCTCGGCCCCGGCTCCTGACCCCAGCTGCCCTCTCCTTCACGTTCTGTGCTGCTGTGTTTGTAGTGGGCAGCGGGCATCACTTTCCCCACTTTTGTACTAGAAGGAAGTTGGCAAAACCGCCCGCTTCTCTCTTGCCTCCCAGCCTGCGTGGCCGTGACTGGGGCGCTCGCTGGCGCCAGAGCACCGTGTCTGGAGGGGCCTTGCCGGTTTCTGAGTCTGTGTTTGCCCTTCAGGTGCTCATTGACGCTCCGTGCTCGGAGCTGGCGCAGGAGCTCGGCCAGAGCCACGCCACCGTGCAGGGGCTCCGGGACACACTGCAGCAGGTGCTCGACCAGAGGGAGGAGGCCCGCCAGTCCAGGCAGCTCCTGGGGCTTTACCTGCAGGCCCTGGAGAAGGAGGGCACCGTCTTGTCGAAGCAGGAAGGTGGGGCTCTGCGAGGGCGTGCCCGCCCCAGGGGAGGCTGTGCGCCGCCGGGGTGTGGGGCTCCGGTCTCCCGCCTGACGAGTCGCGTGGGTGCGGGTGGCTGTGCGGCCGTGTGACTAGGCCGGGTGCTGATCCCCGTCCCTGTCTGCTTTGCAGAGACCAAAGCTGCCTTCAGCGAGGAGACGGATGCCGTGGACAGGGGCGTCAGCAGAGAGCTCTCCTCCGAGAGGACGCTCGCGAGCCGGGTGCTCACCACGCTGCGGGAGACGCCTGCTCCGGAGCTGAGTTTATCCAGTCGGGACTTGGAGGTGGGCGAGACCCAGGGCCACTGAAGTCGGAGCGGGCCGCGCCCCGCAGCGGCGCGTGTGGGGTCCCTCCGCTCTGCAGACCCTGAAGCGGCCGCTTGCCCGTTCTGGGCCTCTCCCGTGACCGAGGCAGGATGGCTGCAGACAGGCTCCCTTCCTGGGACGGGGAAGCGGGAATGCAGCCCGAGGCAGTCGGACAGGACGAGATCCAACTGGGCAGGAGCAGGGTGCAGGCTTCTGTGGCTGAAGACGACCCACAGAGGCCTGCAGGAGACCCACACGGTGCCGCCATCAGGGCCAGGGAAGCCACCCAGTGGGTGCCGCTGCCCGTGCCGGGGGCCTCCCTGGTGGAGGTGGAGAGGAGGGAGGTGGCTGACTTGAGGCTGGCCCGCGGCTGGCCGGGCCGCCTCTGAGCACAGGACGCGGCAGTCGCTCCCCTGAGCCGCGTTCCAAGACCCTTTGCTGTTGGTGTTGTAAGCGAAGGCGGGGCCGGTTTACCGTGAAAGAAGCCCGGCCTGCACGTGCAGGTGCAGCCCACGCCGACGCCGCCTCGCGTGCTGCCCTACGAGAGCACGAGAGCGCGCTTGTGGCGCAGAGCGTGAGAGCGTGGTCTCAGGTCCTTGTTCCCGCTGCAGCTGGTTACCCAGGAAGACCCCACGGCGCTGGCTGTCGCTTTGAGCTGGGACCTGGCGAAGACGCAAGCCGCGCAGCAGGCCTGTGGCCGAGAGCTCGCCGCGCGCCTGCAGCAGGTGCACAGCCTGCGGTCTCTCAGGACCGCGTCAGCACGCAAGAGCCCCCGGCCCGGGGAAGCCCAGGAGCCCAAGCGAGCCAAGCCAGACCCCACGTAGCGACCGCCGGGAGGATGCGAGGGAAGCCCTGGGCCTCGTCTCTGCTCTCGGTAAATGCCTTCGGCCTGGTTGGTGTCCCTCCGCACAGCCGTGCCCTCGCCTTCCAGCATGTTCTCTTGGCACAGGCTGGAAGACTGGCGTGACACCCGTCCAGAAGAATCTATCCCAGGTCTCCACGTGTGCCCCCCCCCCCCCCCCGTATTGAATGAGAGCTGCGCGCAGTTTGCCGCCTCCTGGCCTGCGCTCTCCCCTGTGTTAGCGCTGTTGCCAAGCACAGTGAGGAGAAACCAGTACCTGAGCCGGCGCTGTGGCGTAGCGGGTGAAAGCCGCCGCCTGCAGTGCCGGCATCCCACATGGGCACCAGGTCGAGTCCCGGCTGCTCCACTTCCGCTCCAGCTCCCTACTAATGCACCTGGGAAAGCGGCAGAAGATGGTTCAAGTCCTTGGGCCTCTGCACCCATGTGGGGCCCGAGAGTTAGCTCCCGGCTCCCGGCTCCGGGTCGGCACAGCTCCTGTCATTGCAGCCATCTGGGAAGTGAACCAGCGGATGGAAGACCTCGCTCGCTCGCTCTCTCTCTCTCTGCCTCTCTGTAACTCTGCCTTTCAAATAAATAAATATTTTTAAACATGACTGACTACAGCACTGCAGAAGTTTAAATACAGAGGCTGGGAGAGAAGGTGACGTGACGGTGTGCGCTGTGACCCCAGGTCTCTCTGAGGGTAACGGATCAGTTCAAAGGCAACAGGAAGCTTGCAGACCGTGGGCACCCGGGAGTCCGAGTCACCATTTCTCATCTCCCCCAGCGTCGCAAACCCTCTACTATGTGAGCAGCAGGGGCACCAGGTCGTCAAAGCGACTGCGCCTCCTGCCTGTGCACGCTGCCCTGCCTGTGCACGCTGTCCTTCCTGTCCATCCTGTCCACGCTGTCCTGGTGCTGTCCACGCTGTCCTGCCTGTCCACGCTGTCCTGCCTGTCCACGCTGCCCTGCCTGTCCACACTGTCCTTCCTGTCCACGCTGCCCTTCCTGTCCACGCTGCCCTTCCTGTCCACGCTGCCCTGCCTGTCCACGCTGTCCTGCCTGTCCACGCTGCCCTTCCTGTCCACGCTGCCCTTCCTGTCCACGCTGCCCTTCCTGTCCACGCTGCCCTGCCTGTCCACGCTGCCCTTCCTGTCCACGCTGCCCTTCCTGTCCACGCTGCCCTTCCTGTCCACGCTGCCCTGCCTGTCCACGCTGTCCTGCCTGTCCACGCTGCCCTTCCTGTCCACGCTGCCCTGCCTGTCCACGCTGTCCTTCCTGTCCACGCTGCCCTTCCTGTCCACGCTGCCCTTCCTGTCCACGCTGCCCTGCCTGTCCACGCTGCCCTTCCTGTCCACGCTGCCCTTCCTGTCCACGCTGCCCTGCCTGTCCACGCTGCCCTTCCTGTCCACGCTGCCCTTTCTGTCCACGCTGCCCTGCCTGTCCACGCTGTCCTGCCTGTCCACGCTGCCCTTCCTGTCCACGCTGCCCTGCCTGTCCACGCTGTCCTTCCTGTCCACGCTGTCCCTGTCCACGCTGCCCTGCCTGTCCACGCTGCCCTGCCTGTCCACGCTGCCCTGCCTGTCCACGCTGTCCTGGCGCAGTCCTCTGCAGGGGGCGGCACTCCGTCACTGCCGTGCTTGCTTAGAGGGGATAGAGCGCTGCTCCCTCAGCCAGCTCCGGAGTAAAGAAACCAGGAAGGCCTGGCGGGGACGAGCAGCAAGGGGCCCGCCCGGGGGCGGCAGGCAGGGCCGACGCAGCCGGCCGTCTCAGCCCAATGCCTTCCCCCACCGGCTCCCACCTGGCAGTGCCGTTTTCCTTCGGCTGGTATTTTACGACGCCGCCTCCATCCCGAATGCGGGCCGCAGCCGATAACCTGGCTTGTACCTCAGAAACGTTGATCTGGTGCCCCAAGGTGAGATTTCAGAAGCAGAAGCAAAATCACTTCCGGTAAAGTGACACAAACGTCGGTGTCTGGACGCGGCCACAGGCTCCCAGAGGCCCCGGATGCCCAGGGCAGGTGCCCGTCGGCCCTGGGTCTCACTTCCCGGGTTCTCTTTCTGTGCTGGCCGTCCGCAGTGAGCTGTGGTCCAACAGCAACCAATGGGAAACTCCAGCAGTGGAAGGCTCACAAGTTTACATCGTGGAATGGCTGGCAGTCCCCCACCTCCTCCCCTCTGGGACTGGACCCCACCCCGGCTCCACCAGCCACACTGTAGGTGCTGCCCGCTGCTAGTCAGCTGCAGCCATCCCAGTGACCAGATCTGTCCTGGTAGCCTGATGTGTCGTGGCGCCTGTGGCGGGCACCTCACTTCTCGTCACGTAGGCCTCATACTCACATCACCACGAGAAGCGTAGGTACAGCACAGCAAGATTAAGAGTGGGGAGGGCGTTGAGGTGTAGCGGATAAAACCGCCACCTGCAGCGCCGGCATCCCACGTGGGCGCTGGTTCAAGTCCCCCGGCTGCTGTGCTTCCGATCCAGCTCCCCGCTAACGTGCCTCAGACAGCAGCCGAATACGGCCCAGTGCTGGGGCCCTGCACCCACGTGGGAGACCCGGAGGAAGCTCCTGGCCCCTGGTTTTCGCCTGGCCAGCCCTGGCTGTTGTGACCATCTGGGGAGTGAACTCATGGATGGAAGATTCTCTGTCTCTCCCTCATTCTCTAACTCTGACTTTCAAAATAACTCTTCAGGGGCTGGTGTTGTGGCGTAGAGGGTTAGATACCACTGGTAACACCATGGCTCATGTGGGCGCCAGTTCGTGTCCCTGCTGCTCCATGTCCAATCTAGCTCCCTGCTAAGGCTTGAGAAAAGCAGTGGAGGATGGCCTAAGTGCCCAGGCCCCTGCACCCACATGGGAGACTTGGCTGAAGCTCCTGGCTCCTGGCTTTGGCCTGACCCAGTGCTGACCATTGCCTCCATTTGGGGAGTGAAGCAGCAGATGGAAGATCAATCTCTAACTCATTCAAAATAAATAAATCTTTTAAAAAACCATTCATGTAACTATTATCATTATTTTATTGCTATTGTTAATCTTTTTAATCTTTGAAAACAATGTTTTGGGGGCCAGCACCATGGCGCAGTAGGTTAATCCTCTGCCTGGGGCGCCGGCATCCCATATGGGTGCCTGGTTCTAGTCCCAGTTGCTCCACTTCCAGTCCAGCTCTCTGCTATGGCCTGGGAAAGCAGTGGAAGACGTCCCAGGTCCTTGGGCCCCTGCACCCACGTGGGAGAACCAGGAGGAGGCTCCTGGCTCCTGGCTTCGGATTGGCACAGCTCTGACCGGTTGGGGAGTGGACCATCGGATGGAAGATTGATCCATCTCTCTCTCTCTCTGCCTCTCTCTGTGCAACTCTGACTTTCAAATAAAGAAATGAATCTTCTCACATTAGTGAGAAGCTGGGAGTGGAGCAGGCATTCCACCACGCGATGTGGGCGTCTCGAGTGGCGTGTTTAGTGTGCTAACACCTGCTCCATTGTCAATGTCTTACTGTGCCTAATTTGTACATTAGACTTGTTCATGCTTATATACGTATAGGAAAAAGGTAGGGTTTGACACAAGCCACTGAGGGCCTTGGATTAACAGACGCAGACCAGCACGGGTGTGCGGTGATCACCAGCCCGAGTACCATAGCATCATCAGTGAAGTTCTGAACAAAACTGCCCACCTCGGCTTGACTTACAGCCTAGCTACAGCCCTAGGAAATCCAGGGTCCATTAAAGCTGCAGGAAAATACTCTGAGTTTATATAAAGTAGGTTTCAGGCTGAGATCATTTAAACGGGTTCTCACACTTAACGCCCAGTGCGATGCAGACGCCACGCAGGATATGGGCGGGCCTTTCTTGGGTATTGCAGGAGCACTAGCGCCTCGCTCCCTACTCTCCCCGCCCCAAGGCCAGCGGCAGCCCCCAGTCACACCCCCAGCCTCCCACGGCACCCCTGGAGGGCAGCGATGGCCGTCGGCATTTGCTAGCCCTTCACCCTGGAGCCTCCGGGACCCAGGTGAGCTCGGCAGGGCCCGGGACGTCGCCTCTCGTTTCACACTTGAGCAGGCCTGGGCTCTGCAGGGGTAGGGCCTGGGCTCTGCAGGGGTAGGGCCTGGGCTCTTCACCAAGACTCTGATCTGATCCGAGTGCTCTCAGCTTTCCTTTTCAACATCCAGCTCGCGGGTGGTGCACGATGTGAGGCGTTTGCCGGAACCTGGCTCCCCTGCCCCCGTCACTGCGCTGGTGGCGTGGAGCAGCCGTCACGCCTCGGCCCACTCCTGCGGCAAAAGACGTCCAGAAAGGGTGGTGTCTGTCTTCACCAGGCTTTAACATTTATTTGGAAGGCAGAGTTAGATCTTCCATCTGCTGGCGCACTCCCCAAATGGCCACAACAGCCTGGGCTGGGCCAGGCCAAAGCCAGGTCTCCCACGGGGTGGCAGGGGCCCCAGTACTCGGGCCGTCTTCCGCTGCACTCCCAGGCACGTCGGTGGGGAGCTGGATCGGAAGTGGAGCAGCCGGTCTCGATGCAGTGCTCACATGGGATGCTGGCACCACAGTCGGCAGCTTCACAGTGACACACCAGCCCCAACCGTCATTTCACACCTGCACCTTGGCCCACAAATTACAAATATTTTATTTCCGTCAAATACACAGTGGACCTTTCATTCAGTTGACTTGTCTGGGTGCTGGTATTTTTTCTTCTTTAACATTTAAAAACATTTTTTTTTTTTTTTTGACAGGCAGAGTTAGAGAGAGAGAAACAGAGAGAAAGGTTTTCCTTCCTTCCTTCCTTTCGTTCACCTCTCAAATGGCCGCACTGCCCAGATCTGAAGCCAGGAGCCAGGTGCCTCTCCTGGTCTCCCATGGGTGCAGGGCCCAAGCACCTGGGCCATCCTCCACTGCACTCCCGGGCCACAGCAGAGAGCTAGACTGGAAGAGGAGCAACCGGGACAGAATCCGGCGCCCCAACCAGGACTAGAAGGTAGAGAGAGACAGACACAGATCCTCCATGCTCTGTGCACTCCCTCCTCAAATGCCCACAACACCTGGGGCTGAGCCAGGCCAAAGCTGGGGGCATGGGATTCAATCTAGGCCTCATACACGGGTGGCAGGAACCCAAGTCCTTGGGCCATCACTGCTGCCTCCCGGGTGCACATCAGCAGGAAGATGGATTGGAAGAGGAGCCATGCCCATGCCCAGTCGTGCCGTTCTGCACTTGAAACAAGCCCACCAGGCACCTCAGCTGGACAGGATAATGGAAAAAGGACCGCAGGCCGGAGGAAGACAAACCTTTGGAACCCTAAGCTAGCCGAGGCCCCCCAGACAAAGGGGTTAAACGAAGTAGCGTGAGGAGGTGCACAGTCCTTGCCCACTGCAGCTGGGGCCCGGGCCGGGGGCAGGGGGCCCCTATCCGTGGGTATGGAGGGCGAGGGCTGCAGTGTGGAATCGGCCCAGGTGTGCAGCAAGAGGCCACCAGGACGCCCCCGAGCTCCGGGGCCACTCACCTTGCCCAGGCCACTGCACCTCCAGAGCAGACAGCGCTGTGCCTAAAAATAGGAGCGCAAGCGGGCACGCCGGCTCTGCTGGCTTCCGCAGAATGTGAGAGCGCGGCGGGGACCAACACACG